ATCGAACGGTGAAGTCGTTGAAAAGTTGTCCGTTCGACAGGTTCGAATCCCATTAAATGGGCTTAGTTGCATGACAGTTTTCGTCATTTAAAACATCCTTCGCCGAGGCATCCTTTCCGTAGGTTGACCCACCAGTGAACGAGTGTTGGTAACTGGTAGTTCGACTATCTGCATGGACGTTTTCGTGGTTTTACTCATGAGTAACGTGGATACGAGCCAATTTACTTTAAAATGTCCTCTATGAAGGCATCCTTTCCCTTAGGCTGATAGCCGTTACGTGCTTTCCCATAACTGAATAAACCAAAATTCCATAGGCAGATAACCCTCGAATTACTTTGCCTTAAACAATTAATTAACGCATTTCGGGAGACACTGGTTAAACAGCAGATGAGAGCACCTTCTGAAGATTCATCCTGGGTTTTTATTAAAAGAACCTCTGGTAATGTTATTGAATTAATTACCCTTCCATATATAATTAGGGCGATTAATTAAGTATGGCAAAATGCAAAGGGTCTTTGTCCATGGCAGGTTTATTACTAGCGGAAGAATTTTAAATCTTGCTTACTATAAACATATTTTAAGAAGTATGAAATCAAAGGAGTTCTTTTTTGGTGAAGTCCTCCGTTTTTAAAGAAAGAATCGTCAAGTCTGACCAGTTATGTAAATGCATAACATGTAGATTATTTTAATAATTGTGAAATTGTTATAAATTAAAGCATTTTAACTGAGATTAGCACTATTTTAAGAGTTTTTTTTTATCACGCCTAGTATATTATAAGCAATTGATAGTATTGTATTTCACCGAAATGAATTCGGCGAAAACGAAAATGAAGAAGATTAGTTACGTTCCCACTCAATAAGGTCTAAGAAGTTCTCTCTGTGCAACGTAAATATCAGCAAGCCTCCTTTAAACATTCCCCCCATGACGGAATATTTCTTTTACAGGCGCAGATAATGCTCATGTGCTGTGCCATAATCTACTATAAGCAATGATTTCTATTTATTTTATATATATTTGTAGCTGTAATATAAACACTTCAACTCTTTAACATGTTGCCAATTATAGAAATAAACAGGCTAAAAATATTCATGAGCAATTTTGTTTAATGATTCAATCAAATGACTCGCGCAATGCTAAATTAAAGTATTACCGAGCCCAGGGCAAAAGAAACGTTTAGCGACCTTTAACATGATACTGACACCAGGAAGACACCAAAGGCCAATTAATGTTTTGATGCGTTTGAAATTCAATGAAAACTAATTAAACACGCCTTTTAATTGGACGCTGGTCTCACAGTCTGTATAAAATTTTTATACTTAATGAACAGCCTGAAATAAATATTTACGAGTATAATTATACATTTCTTTAAAAGGGCGCCCCTTCTGATCAGGTATCCTTCTACGAGACGCAATCTGCCCCCCCCTTCCCGCATAGAGCTGCCTTCCTAGTAGGAATGCATCTTTGTGAAACTGTTGGTTGGAATAATTACACACTTGATTATTATTATTATTTATTTATTTTAAATTCAATAAAATGGCTACTCTTTTTATGAAGCTGCGTATATCCTTAGAGATGTCATACCTAGTTAAATTTTTTCGTATCTGCATTTATGTTGGGAGCTAAGCGGAGCCATGATAATCGAGTACTTAATTAAGTAAAGTACTCTTTGATCTCATTTTTTTCACACTCACGTTTCGCCCTCAATTTTTTTAAACATATTAGGAAATGCATATGCAAAAATATGTCTAAAAACATATACTAGATGGCCTTCCATCGGCCGAGGAGATAAGGCGGATGAAGTCTAATATTTTGACCTGGGTTCTAACTAAGGGTTGACTGAACAGATGTTTTCTTGATTTTTGCCATGTGCAACGGGAATAAGGTCCATTTCCCTGTAAAATGTTCTCCAAGAAGGCATATACTTGCTTTGGGCAGATAGTGCTATTTTGCTTTGCCATAATTAAATAATCCTAATTCAGAACGTATAGGAATGTAAATCTTTGTCAAATTTATACACAGAAAAGAAACAAAATAAACTTTCGCAGAAAATTCTTCAACGCATATCCACCGAAATCAGTCACCTCAAATTTAAAAGTACACTGAATTGGTCGCAACTTACATCAGATATTAATAAATTAAAACAGCTTTTTACTATTACAAAAATAGATAAAGCAACTAATAACTTTAGCATTATATGAAAACAATTCTACGCTGAAATTATTCATAAAGAACTTCTCAACGCAACTACTTATCAATTAGCCAACCTTACAGAAACATCTATAAACAGGATTAAAACTTTTCATAAGAAACTCAATATTACGTTCAATGCAAACTACAACAGATTTACTAATCTTTATGCGATTCCCAAATTCCATAAAACACCATTAAAATTTAGATTTATAGCTAATGGAACTAATAATTACAAGAAAAATGTAGACTATTATTTTTCAATTACATTGACGTACACTAGCTATTATAGACATTTACCACTACTAAAAACAGAAGCAGTGGTCACTTTATTATGAAGGCACCTAACAGATGGGCCACCGTTACCTTCTATGAAGGGAAAGACAATTAACAGCCATGACTTCTCCGGAATTCAAGCCCGGGCCCTTCGGTAGAGTAGTCAGATTCCCATCTGGACGGTAGAACAAAATTGTATAATGGGAAGTCTAGCCTGTCTGTTTAACTAATTAGTATGATAAAAACCGAGGCTTTCTACCTAAGGAAAAGAATGCCTTGGAGGAGAATTTTCAAAGGATTTTAAACGGTGGAGGATTTCAAAGAATTCCTTTATGTATAACTTAGTATTCATGTTACATATGGAAAACAAATCACAAAAACACTCATGCAGCCACCTCGTAATTATAAAATCAAACTATCAGAATATACGAGGACACATAGCATCAATATGTCAAAGAATTGTAGTGCAGTTAGCGACACGGAAATAGGCGACCCCCCCCCTTCGCTAGAAAATCCAAGAAAAGGAAATACGGAAAATGCATTAAGAGATCATAAAGAAGGTGAAGAAACAGGTCTAAGAATTCCTCGACAGATCCGGAAGAAATGGTATAATCTTAACCCTAAATATCACACGCATGCCAGAATAACAACTATTGTTTGGGCTTCACTCTCAGAAGTGCCATTGAAAGTTTTTCCATTTTTAGAGCTCGATTTGTTTAAAGTTGAATTTCATTGCTGTTGGGGAAAATAGAATTACGCAGTTTACTTCCTTAACGCCTTTTTTTACAAAACTGTTTTGCAGTTTCACAATAATAACCTCTTTATTCTTCAAAATTTAAATAAAAAAGGTTTAACTGGTTGTAAATGAAAACAACTGTGTATTTGTGGAATGTTATTCGACAATTATGTTTAAGATATTAAAGCAAAAGTGGTTATGCTTTTCGTGAGAAAGCTAATTATATGTAATGATTTTCTTCATATGTTTAAGTACGGGAAAGTATATGAGGAATATCTAGCTAAGGGAATGAATGCCTTTGTGGAGAGACATTTAAGGAAAACTGGTTCATATTTTATATCAGCGTATATCTGACACAGATCCGTCTATCAGTTTTGTTCATTCTATTAACTAATCTTACCTATGAATTGTCCATTCATCCTCTGATGAGTTAACTACTTTAAGATTTTACTAACATGCCAAATATCTGTGTATTTTTCCTACATAACTTAAGAAATATGGTAATTTTTTAATAACTATGAATCTAATTGTGTTCAACTGCTAACGAATGAGGCCAGTTGGAAGACATAGAAAGGCGCATTCTGTTAGCATATTTCATTCTGATGTAAGGTTGTCAGGACTTAGTGTTCTGTGCATACTTTTGGCAAACATAATGGTGACAGTATCAATGTCCTGAACTCGAACAGTGAGCTGAATGCAGCTATGTTCTTGTGAGTGCTAGAAGAATTACAACGTAAGAAGGGTGTAAAAGACCCTCTTATTTACTCACTATTTACAGCAACTCCCAGCTCGGGAGTGATAACAGAAAAAATAATGAAGGCGCTTGGGTCTAAACTGAACAATCAAGCAATTTAAAGTAAAACTTCAGTAGACATTTAAATAGTCACTGTCACAGAGCTTAAACGCGAGATTGGCCTAAGTATGGTACGTAGCAAGCCTTTGCTAAGTACTAACGCATTTAAATCACTTCAATCAGTATTAGAGTAACAGCGCTAAGGCGTAAGAATTTAAAATACTAACTATTCTGGTGAACGTCTACCGAGCCGACGTGGTCTGAGACGGAAAGCTCTCTCACACTTGAGAAGTTTCTCACTAACCTTTAAATACAAAACTTGGCTCCAACACAAATTAGCATAAAGCTGAACCGTGCGCTCATTCTGAAGGGAAGTTGAAATAAGAGTTTACAGGAAAGGGTAACTTAAAATAAAAAGAAATTTGGTTAGTTTAACTTAAAACCTTATAAGGTTTCATTTTGGAATGAAGTAATTTGACTCAAAAAGAATCCCTTGTTTGAAAACGTTTCCTTATTCAAACTTGCCGTCATAATTTGCTAAAAAACAAAGCTACTTTCGGAAAATATTTCGTTGTTTTAACGTCTGTATGTAGAGATAATATTCTTTAAACATTTAATTGCTTATATGCAGATTACACAATATCGACCATTTTCTAGTTCAGAATTTCCTATAATTCCAGTGATTGGTGGGAAAGCCGAAAGGTTTACTAAACGCTTTTCCTTATATAATTTCACAATTTTTAATCATGACTTTCCGTTATTTTTCCATTTATTTATCGAAAACAGGTTTTATCAAAATAAGAAACCGATTTTTAGTAGTTGTAAAATTTTATCCTTTCCAAATGCCATCAAAGTGATAATTTTGAACTCGACTGCTTTGGCGTTGCGAAATAATGTGCGTGAACATGCTACTGTTTAAACTTGATTCAACAGAACGATAAAAATTCTTCCCTAGCTTTTACAATGTCAAGATTTTCTTATCTTTAAACGTTATCTTCGCAGCCAAGGAGGCCAAATAATATTTGTCATACTCACATTCGACAGGTTTTTCAGTATCTATGCCAAATAGATTCCAAAACCAGTAGATTTTTCAGTAAAATGCAGCGTATACTTGTCGAAAACCCACTGCTTCGATTAGCAGGCAAAAAAATGTTTCGGCATACTACTGGAATACATTTTATCTTGAAGTATCGTGTTAATTACTTCTGTTCTAAACCTAAAATTTCAGAAGCTGTAAAAGCACTTTTACCTACTCATGATGAATTTAGCGTCCGGCATATTGGTCCACGAGCGGCGGATCAGAAAATTATGCTGAAGGAATTGGGATATGAGGTAATACTTATCAAGTATATTTCTTATTGTTTTAAACATATAAGTTATCCTACTACTTTGCCTCATTGTAATTCTATTACCTAACGCAATATTTATTATAACTATGTTTATCAGTACATTATAACTTTAAACAAAATGCTTGTGAATAAAAACTAGATTTCATACTTATGTTAGAAGATCTTAATTTTAAAAGTATGACTAAGGTTACCAGAAATTTGAAGCATAGGAAATGAAACAGAGGAGCTTTTAAAGGACTTAACCAATATTTCGATTCTAAACATACTCTGTAAAATAAAAATTATTTTAAAATGATAAAATTAAACGGACATGTGCAGCAAATAAGGTGAAAATAACAGACATACTCAAGTAACATAGACAATAAAATAAAACAATAACAATAAAAATGGCTAATTAATATTTATGATATCAAAGAAAGGTTTTCCTTTGTCATTATCATTTTCTAAGGTCATGAGTTCAAAAAGTTCAGTATGTTATTAGTATCTGTATTAAGACTTGAAATAATTTTCTCAGATCAAGTCTCTAATTCAGCTGTTGCCCTATTCCGGTCTATCTCAATTTTTCAGTGAAATCAAAATTGAAACCAAAGTGCACCCGGGCTTCAAATGAGACAAACTCCGTTATACACCTGAATTGCAATATTAACGGAGATTAATATTTATGATAATTAATTTAATATTTATGATATTAAAGAAAGGTTTTTATTTGTTATTATCATTTTCGAAGTTATCAGTTCAAAAAATTCAGTATGTTATTAGTATCTGTATTAAGACTTGAAATAATTTTCTCAGATCAAGGCTCTAATTCAGCTGTTGTCCTGTTCCTGTCTATCTGAATTTTTCTGTGAAATCATAATAGTAACCAAAGTGCAGGGTTTGAATCCCATGTAAGGATTATTCTTATGTTCTTTTTACGCCTTCTCGTGAGCGTAATATCAGTCCATTCTTAGTGGTATACCCTGTATAACGTTCTCAATGATGAGACGGCTGTATATCTGATCGGTTCGGCTATTCTAAACAAATGCGGAGAAGTATGTGTGTGGCTGTTTGGAAAAAAAAAAAAAAAAAAAAAAAGAGATGAAAATAAATCTTACCTTTTATTCTCTGTATCATGTCTTATTATTATGAAATATTATCATTTCTTTTATTTCACTTATTGCTTTTCGAATTTACGTTAATTTATTATTAAGTTACTGCTTTTAATTAATTAATTAATTAATTATTGCCATTTGTTTTATTTCACTTAATGTTTTCGAATTTATGCTAATTTATTATTAATTTACTACATTTTATTTCATTTTTATGATATTTAAACCATTATTTACTTAATTATTATTAAATTAATTAATTAATGTTTTTATCCCTTTATATTTGATTTTTCATTATTTATTACTTTATCTATTAATTTATTTATTTATTTTTCGTTCCCGTTTCTTTCGTCAGTATGTAAAATTCCAGCATTTCTAATGTTAGAAATTAAGTCGTGACTGTAGGATTAGAACAAGTTTACAGCTTTTTCATATACGAGCGATAAAAAACGGATTTTTCGTAAATTAAGCAAATGAGAATAAAGATAGGATAACAAAAGCAATAAAATATTAAACTGATTCATAAATTACATACATGCTTTCAGAAAACAGAGCTACCCTAATCAGTCTGTCGATAACATAAACAGATAAAAATTACACAAAACTGATAAATTAAGTAGAAAAATGTAGCTGAAGTTTAGCATGAACATTTCTTATTGCTTGAGCTGAAGGATTTCATGAATTGCAATTAAAAAATTATATGACACTGGAGGAGTACAAACATATTAAGAATTCTAAAAATATTTAAATATCAAAAACTTTATCTAATAGTAATATTAAAAACATTAAATTAAAATTTACGCTTATTTAAAAAATCGTTTTAAAAATTTAACTAAACGAAAATATCATTATCGTAATTTTAATTTCAAGCGGTTGCTATGGTGATAATTTTCCTAAAGAATAAGGACAACATTGTTTATAAGAATGTAAGTTGATGGATGGATTTGAAGTATGTTAAAGTCCTCGGAAAGGGTAAATAATTGTAAATATTTATTGGTAAAATTGTTGACCACAACACCATATACGGAAAATAGCGATTTCTTTTGAGGTCACAAAAAGCCAGTACACAAAAGGAACATTTTTTTTTTTCCCTCCAAACATAATGTGTATCGAAAAATCTGAAATCGCGAAACTGTGATATGTCCCAGAAAATGGGCGAAAGCTTGATTCTAATAATAAGCAAATCTGTGAAATTTCGTGAATTCAGGGAAATTTCTTTCTTCTAATTTCAATTTATGCGAAATTTTATTAAATGTATCTAACACTAGTCTTACGAATTGTTTGAGTTGAATGTTCTCTGTTTTCCTCTTGAGATTAAAAATAAACTTGCAGGGAAATTATACCATGTGTAAATAACATCAGTACACCTAACATGATAAATTAATTTAAAAGACTCGGTCGCTGATTTTGTTTACATTAGTATTAACTATACCAGTGTTCAAATTTTATCTGCCGCTAGAATAATTGATAATTGATTAGCGCAATTTATTTACTAATTACCCTTACAAATAAATTATTATGCAATATGCATCAATCAAGCAAAATAGAATTATGACTGTAGAATATAAATTGTTTACAAAATAGTTTCCATATCACCATTTCAGACCATTACATCCGATGAATTTGTAATTTTTATTGTGTCCATTTCCTTATTTTACAGGCCCACCAGCGGCCGAGCGGTAAGTCGCTGAACACTGGTAGTTCGGTCCGAGGTTCGAATCCCGCGAACGGGCCGGCTGCATGGGCGTTTTCGTGGTTTCCCCATGTGTAACGTGTATACGAGCCAGTTTCCCTTAGAAAGTCCTCCACGAAGGCATCCCTCCCCTTAGGCAGATAGCCCTCGTGTGCTTTGCCGTATTCTCAATACACACACACACACCTTATTTTACATACTGTGCAATATTTAATTATAATTAATAGGCAAATACTATAGGCAACTTTCGAATACATGTAATGTATACATTAATAAATACATGTAAAATATATTTATTAATGTAACTTACATTAATAAATACATTTTTTTAAAAATTTGGTATTCAGTAGTATGCTCTATATGAAAACACAATATACGTCCCTGGAGCCATTATCCATTAGTCCTCCTTTAAGGCATCTCTACTTTTAGGCAGACAGTTCTTGCGTGCTTTTCCTTAATTAAATACACCAATTCTTAATTTCCTTAATTAAATACCAGATCAAAACACTCAGAAAATCCCCCAAGAAAGCATAGCGTCAAAGCGATTTTATGAAACCCAGTATCTTATAACAAACTTATTAACAAAATTTTCTTGCAGTAAATAAAAGTAAACTGCCTATAAGGTTCGCATTACTGGAAGCATCTTTACAGAGATAACTCCGGGTTCTGCTCAGTAATTGTACATTCTCAATTGCCCAGTAGTTGAGACTGATGAATGCTGAGAGTTTGACTTGGATTCGATCCCAGCCGATCGTTCATTAGCGGTCGAATGGTAAAGCTGCTGAACACTAGTAGTTCGACGTGGGTTTCATTCCAGGCAAGCAGTTTGGCTGAGTGGGCGTTTTTCTAGTTTTCGCCATGTGTAACGTAGATACGAGCCAGTTTCCCTTAGAAAGCCACGAAGGCATCTTTTCCTTGTGCAAAACCCCAACGTGCTGCTTTGCTGTAATCAAATAAACCAAACCGATCCTAGGCTATTAGGATGGCTGTATGGTTCGTTTTCGCGGTTTTCTCCATCTGTAATGCGAATATAGGCCAATTAATTTTAGAAAGTTCTCCACGAAGGCAATCCTCTCTTCAGGCAAGTTAGCCGTCGGGGGCTTTGCTGTATTCAAATAAGCAAGCCTAACCGCTTTCTATTATACGATGATGACCTTTTTCTCTGAAGATTTATTCCATACATCGTCGTTCTCAATTTTATAAATGTCTAGAGAGAAGCGTTTACAAATATCAGTACGCTGTCAAATAATTCTACAAAGTTTCTAGCAATAGTGGCAGAAAGGGACAAAATCACGAAACCTGTACATTCTTAATAACTGAACTAAATGAATTAAATACATTTCATTGTTATTTTTAAAGAAGAAAATTGCATAAGTAATATTTCCGTGTAGTTAGTTTCGTTGGCATTAGTACTGTTTTATTGAATAAAATATTTTCTAACACCACATATATGGACCTTGGTTACAGTTATTCCTGCATCATTCTAATTTCAGATTATAGTCTAGGTCCTAATAGAAAGGTCCAAAATAGTCCAGTATGGCACAATAGTAGAATGACTTTTGACTACTTTTGGCTGACTTTTGACTACTTTTGGCTGACTTTTGACTAAAATGTTCTTTCATCTTTGTATAGTACTAATTATGTTAAATAACTTGAATACCGTTAAAAATATTTGGTGTTTAGGGGTAAGCACAATTTAGATAACTGCTAACAATCTCTTAAAAACTGCGAGTGGTAAACCTACGGTTCCAAGTTAAGAAATAAAATTAATAAAGTGAACTTACAGATTGTGGCAGTTTTTGTCACATGATACATTTTAGAAAAATGTATGCAATTTTCTTCTTGCAAAAATGGCCGTCTCGGAAAAACATCTGACACCTCGAAAGAAAGTTCGCCGTTCAAAATTACTAGGTATTAAAAAAACAAAAAAGGCATATCATAAAATAAAATAATAATGAAAAGAGAAATGCGATCGTAAACAGATTCCAGTTTAAAATCTGATATAATTTAAAGCTTAATTATTACCATAATTAAAGAAGCGATTCCCTAAAATTCAAGAAACGCGATATAAAATTGTACATTTTAAAATGAGGTGTTCAAAATAGAAATAGAAGTGTTAGATAATGAGAAGGGGACTTGTTGTAATAACTTGCAATCGAAAATTAACGTCCCCAACGAAGGTTCTTGCATTTATTTTATAAA